CAACAACAACAACAACAACAACAACAACAACAACAACTGAAACGTAGGGTAACCTCCTCTTCCAAAAGATCGGGAATATCGAGAGACACTGACAAGGCACTTTGACTACAGATGGCGCCCGCACTTAAGAACATCTTAATTTGCGTGAGGCTGGGGTTCTTAGTTGCCTGTTGAGGCTGCGAATGGCCATTAGATAGGTTTTAGTGTGAGGTTCTTAACGGGGACCACTAAAATACGCTCATGTTCATGAGTTTTGGATTTTTTGAGCCTCATGTTCTTAACAGGTAGGTTCTTAAGTGCGGGCGCCATCTGTACAACACAGCGTGCCATTTTGCCTGCCGCGTTTCATAATGAGCTAGCTAGTGAATATTTCTAGACTGTTAGGCTTGCGGATAGTAGTCTAAAAAATATTTGTTCGTCAGGAAGCAAATCTCACACGGTGCTACCTCTGATCACACACCTTCTCAACACACTCTACCTGCATCTATGCACATGAATCCAACGAGGCTAAATGTGTACCCCAAGTACCTCAAGACACCGCAGCTTGTACTTGATACGATGTGGGATCATCTCGAATCAGCCACAATTAACGACGAACGCCCTATTCACGCCCAATAACCTGTACAACACCATGCAATCAACCCCGAAAACACCCTACCCACGCTATTTTTGGGGAGGGACATAGCGCGGCATGCCGCCTCAACAACGTCCAGTCGATGGCCTCCTGTCGCGTCGCACGCTACGAAAAACAACAACACTTCACCCGAAGTGCCAGCGGGTAATACCTTGGGAACCAACCGCCAGCGTGCCAGCTTGGAAAATACCAACAGCTGTACCCCCTTTCACCCCCCAAAAATCCTCCCCTTCATTCCAAAACACATCGGCGCACGCGCCCACTGGGCTACATTTTCTCCAATTACAGCCGCATCAAATCAAAAGAGGTTCAGGCGCTCTAGACCTGCTTCTTATCTATGGTAAATACGAGCTATCGCCAAACCAGCACCATCATCAATGAGGCATCAAGAAGTCTACGTGATTCGAGGTAGCTCCTGTGCCTGCTGCCCGCCCGCTCGCCTTCGCAATCGACCAGGTACTTGCCTGCTGGGGGTGAACGCCTGTTGAGTTGAGACCGCGACACACACAAAACAACAAAGAAAACAAGAGACAAACGGACGGGGAAATCGCGGAGAAGGGATTTTCAGTTCCAAGTCGAATGCCTAGTCGTTCGTCGGCAACTAGGGAAATAATCTAAGGCCGTTCTTCGTTCGATGTTCGATGTTTGTTTTGATTCTTGCGAGGAGTCTATACCACCGTGGCGGCGAGAGACCACACTACATCGGATCAGCAGTAGTGTCCCCACCAAAGAACTTCTTTAAGCCAACTACTGTAACGGGAATACTGCTATTCCCCAAGAGGTTGCGCCAGGCCGCTGTATGGTTCCAAATTTCTCAAAAATTCTCAACAATATTTTCCAAGTTCTTCAGCGCGGGTGCTGCGATATCTGTCAACCCAAGGCAACGACCGCGGCCGACAAAGGAAGCAATTGCATACAACCCAAAGGCACAAACTCGGAACGAAACGGAAATGAAAAATACCTAGCGGAGTAATTCAAAAGAGGGTAACATATCCGCGCCTACACAGGAAACTCACGTCTGCCTGCGTCTTCATCTCCGGAGGCATCTTAGTGCTGGGCCTGCGCGACAGCGGAAGCGGCATCGCGGTCGGAATCGGTTGGGTTAGGGTGGATGGTGAAATTGGGCGCGAGGCAGAGGACCCACTGGAACGACGTGCCAGAAAAGACCGCAGAGGGCGGCGAGCCTAGATCAAGTGGTGAATCGGCGTGATCGATCAGCGCGAAACATCACGAATACAAAAATAACAATATTCTTGGGACGGTGTGTGACAAGAAAACAACAACGATAGAGATGGATTCGTTGTGCATACTGAGAAAAATACTAGGAACACACGAGCACAAGAGTCGCTGTATGGTGCTCGGGGAATCGTCAACAACAGGTTGGCCATCTCAACGCAATGAAACGCTTAGCTAAAACTATCTAGTGCTAAATTTTCTGTCGGGAAGAGGCGCACCTCTGACAATTGTTAGAATACAGAAAACAAGGAAACCAAGCCAACACGGCGGTACCAAACCCCTTTCTCTCACGAAAGGCACATGAAGAAAACCAAGGGAAAACAGTAGTACGACTGCTCAATCCTTCTACTATGGACGGCCCCTGCAAATACTCACCGGCTTGAGCCCCGGGGGCGCCTTGGGCATCGCGGACGAGTGGTGCTCGACCATCACCCACTTGCCGTTCTCCCTTCGGTAGGCAAACGTGAAGCGCGCCCGCGTCTCGGTCATGGCCCCGTCAGCTCCCGCCCAGGCGAACGTGTAGGCGCCCGCGTGGATGGCGAAGTCTCCGTGGATGCGCGGGGGCGCCGGGTCGTACGCGACCATGGAGAGCTTGGGCATGCGGGCGAAGAAGTCCTGCGTGGAGGGGAAAGAACGGCCAGAGGTGGGTAGTCAAGGTTATGGTGGTCCACAATCTGGCAGAGCACCCATACTTAGGGAAAAAATTATGCTGGACCGGAAGAACAAAAACAAATCATCGAAGTTTTAGAGGGGTAAAGCCGGGTAGATGTCGTCCTTCCACCAATCACGTGTCGACGATGTAGGACATTATGTTGGGCAGACACGGCTGATTGAGCGATGGGCACGACGCTCTCGGGAGAATCCCCGAAATCCTCTTGCACGGCAGTACCACACACACCATGCAGAGAACATACGTATGGGAGTGGAGCCCACAATTTCGGGCGGGTATTTCAAGCTTGAAATGTTGGTTGGGTTTTGGAGCCGAGCATCAAGATGTAGGTTGCTGGGCTTAGGCCAGCAGCGATCGGTTCAGTAACCAACAATTATCATCGCCCGACGGCAAACAACAAATTGTTTAAGAAACATCACGGGGCTAACGAAAACAATCGACGCCACGACGCTACATGTATCGAGCATAAATACTGACAACGCAACACGCACATACCACCTCACGCGATGGTTATTGCTACTGCGGCCGATGTAGATGAGAATACATTCTTCACCAACCGACACTCACAAAGTAATCGTAGACGTGCGCGGGCGTGTTGCGGACCTCCTCCGAGACCGTTCCCCAGAACAGCGCATCGTCAGCGTAGATGGCGGCGGTCTTCTTGGGAGCGTCCTCGGTGTTGGCGGTCACGTTGTCCCTCCAGTTCCTAGTCGCGGCGTCGACGGCCTTCTGGTCTGTTCACCCGAGACAACGACACCAGCAACAACAAAATGTAGAGGTACAGGCAGATGTCAGATGAACGTTCAGCTCAGATCGCCCAAGAGAAGGCAAAATAGTACAACGGGAGAGATGGGAGGCCATTGATAGGAACGTTCACATCAAATCACCCGACACACGCAAGAAGAAAATCGGGGATATGAGAAAGTTTTACACCATATTTATGCGGCAAAAAAGCACACAAGATTTTTACCGCTAAGTCGCCAAGTAATAATAGTCGAAGCGACTTGTACCGCTAATTCGCCAAGTAATAATAGTCGAAGCGACTTGCTTCGGGAGAACGGAGTTGCCGAATGGAAATTAGAAACGACAGCAAGCAACAACAAGGACATCTGCCAGCGGACATTAAGCGGCAAACGACGCCTGCGGCCAAAACACGCCATCTTTACAGCAGCAGCAGCAGCAGCAGCAGGAACAGCATGCAACAGCAAACGAGGCAGCAACGAAGGCTTCTGGTTGACTCACCAGCGGTGTAGTTGGCCGCATAGTCGGCCTGAACATGTCCGCGTGAAGTCCGGTGATGCGAGCGCGTCGGGCACAACGTTTCACCACGTTCAAGGGAACAAAGCGAGCGGATTGGGCAGAGGATAAATTGACCGTTTGCCGCACTCGCACTGCTAGATCGCACTGCTGAGCAGAGCGACACCACACGACGCAAATAAAAAAAAACTGTGACGCGAAGAGGCCCGCGAAGAGGCCCGAGAGACCACGCTTCCCAAAAAATGTTCTGCGCTAAGGGTGTTGGAAAACATTGTAAGGTGCTTTGGCGCGTGCTTGTCTTCCAGTAGCGTTCACGAACGCGCGTGTGAGCCTCGACATGATCCATCCGATTGAGCCAAACATCGCGCGTGACGTGCAACACGACGAAACACGGGTCCCTTCATAAATTTCCCGCAATGTCTAAAACGTGCATACGTCTACATGCGCACGAGACAAAAATCAAGATATGCACGGCTTCCAGACACGCCGCCAGAGTTGGCACACATCACCTCACCTGTCCAGACATCTGCCTAACCGGGAGCTTCACGGCGGCAAGCCTGGTCGCCGCCTGGGTGACGGTGAGGCCAGACCTCGTCGACAGCAGAGCGTGCATCGAGCCGGCGGCCCGGACACTGCTCTGGATGCTGGACTCGCTCTTGCCGACGACCCTTGCCAGCCTGGATGCAGTCCTTCCCGCGGGCATCTTTCCAAAGTTCATCATGATGTCCTTTCGTCGGACGGTGGAAGGTTGGCGGAGTGGTGTTGCTGACAGAGGTGGGTGTGCGTGTAAGTTGTGAGCTGGGGGGGGCTGATGGGGGCTGGGGGGAACGAAGGCTCACAAACACTAATTACACCGCATTATTTTATTTCTTTTTGTCGACACATCGGCAGATTCGATGGCCGCCGTCGGACAACAAAGTAGCGTCTATGGCGGGGATACAGGTAGCCTTCGCTGACGCTACGGATTCATTGTGAATCTACCTTAGACTCTATTCTATGGATAACGATGGGTTCTTTGTGTCATATTGAAAAATTATCGAAAATGCAGGTAGTATTCGCTGACCCTTGGATTCATTTTGCTAAATAAAAATCATAGACATGAAGGACGTGAAGGATATGGATTCGTTGTGTCGACAAAAACAGAATTAAAATAATGCGGCGTAATTAGTGTTTGTGTGCCTTCGTTCCCCCCAGCCCCCAGCCCCCCCCAGCTCACAACTTACACGCACACCCACCTCTGTCAGCAACACCACTGCACCAACCTTCCACCGTCCGACGAAAAGACATAATTATGAACTTTGGAAAGATGCCCGCGGGAAGGACTGCGTCCAGGCTGGCAAGGGTCGTCGGCAAGAGCGAGTCCAGCATCCAGAGCAGCGTCCGGGCCGCCGGCTCGATGAACGCTCTGCTGTCGACGAGGTCTGGCCTCACCGTCACTCAGGCGGCGACCAGGCTTGCCGCTGTGAAGCTCCCGGTTAGGCAGATGTCTGGACAGGTGAGGTGATGTGTGCCAACTCTGGCGGCGTGTCTGGGAGCGCTGTTATCTTTTCTGTGTGTGTGATTGTTCTGTCTCGTGCCCAGTGCGCATGTAGACGTATGCATGTTTTTTAACCATGCGGGATATTTTAGACTCTTGGACCACCCTGCGGCATATTTCTGAAGGGGCCTGGAGTTACGTCGGCTAAAATTGATGGGTCATGTCGAGGCGCACAGTAGTAGTACTTTCTTGAACGCTACTCAAGGACAAGCATACGCCCAAGTGCCTTGCAATGAATTCCGATGTCCCCCGCGCAACCCTTCCGTCGGCTAGGATTGCTTTCACCGCACCTCTCGATTCGCCAAAATATCCAGCGCATACATGAACATGTGTGGGTTGTTCTCTCTCGGGCCTCTTGGCGTCGTCACAGTCTTTTTTTTGTTCGGGTCGTGTCGTGTTCCATCATCATGTGCGCGCTCCCACACAGCAGTGCCTTGCACTTTTCTCAACACTGCTATACCCCCTGCCACACGCGGGCGCTGGTAGGTGCTGCCGTTTGGTCGCCCGCGTACGGCCGCGAAGTCGTCCACCATGCACCTGTACATTCAGAGTTGTCTCCTCCCTGATCGTTCCAACTACACTCCATTTTAAGGCATCTGTGTTATTAAGTGTTACTTCAACTTTAAATGAAATGGGAAATCAAGCGCGCTGCTTCGCAGTGCGATGTAGCTGCGTGAGTTCGGAAAAACGGTAATTTACCACTCCCCAATCCGCTCGCTCTGTTCCCCTGAACGTGGTGATTCGTCGTGCACGACGCGCTCGCAATCACCGGACTTCGCGTGGACCTGTTCAGGCCGACTACGCGGCCAACTACACCGCTGGTGAGTCAACCGGTAGCCTTCGCTCTAGCCTCACTTGCTGTTGCATGGTGCGCGTGCTGTAGAGATGGCGTGTTCTCGTCATGGGCTCCCTACTAGCGAAGCGAATCGGTGACCATTTCAACAATATTGCGGTAATCTTTTGTAAGTTTGCTTCCCGAAAAGCTACGTGTAGCACGCCATTTTGTTGGTGCCCCCCATTTTATTCTTCCGTGCCGGGTGATCTGATAGGTACGTTCGTATCAATGGGTCCGATCTCTCTCACGTTGTACGTAGTTTACAATTTTGTGCTCTCTTGGGTGATATGAGGCGAACGTTCATCTCACATACATATGCCTTTGCCTCTACATTTTGGTGTTGCTGTTATCGTGTCGGGCGAACAGACCAGAAGGCCGTCGACGCCGCGACTAGGAACTGGAGGGACAACGTGACCGCCAACACCGAGGACGCGCCCAAGAAGACCGCCGCCATCTACGCTGACGACGCGCTGTTCTGGGGAACGGTCTCGGAGGAGGTCCGCAACACGCCCGCGCACGTCTACGACTACTTTGTAAGTGGGAGTTTTGAAGGCTATTTTGTTCAGCAGCAACGGTAGGAACTACCATCGCGTGAGGTGGTATGTGCGTGTTGCGTTGTCTGTATTTGTGCTCAATACATGTAGCGTCAATGCGTCGATCGTTTTCTTTGACCCGTTGATATTTCCTTCAGCATCTTGTTGGTTGGCGGCCACCTCGGGCAGGCAGGGGAATGTTTGGTTTCTACACCGCTCGCTGCTGGCGCAAGCCCAGCGATCTACATATCGACGCTCGGTTCCAAAATCCAACCAAATTTTCAAAGCTTGAAATACACCCACAAGATTGTGAAACAAACCCTTGACTACCCACCTCTGGCCCTTGTTCCCCCCCCCCCACAGGACTTCTTTGCCCGCATGCCCAAGCTCTCCATGGTCGCGTACGACCCGGCGCCCCCGCGCATCCACGGAGACTTCGCCATCCACGCGGGCGCCTACACGTTCGCTTGGGCGGGAGCTGACGGGGCCATGACCGAGACGCGGGCACGCTTCACTTTTGCCTACCGAAGGGAGAACGGCAAGTGGGTCATGGTCGAGCACCACTCCTCCGCGATGCCCAAGGCGCCCCCGGGGCTCAAGCCGGTGAGTATTTGAAGGTTCGTGCATCGTAGAATGAGGTTTGAGGTGTCTGCTTTCCCTTAGTTTTCTTTCACGTGTTTTTCGCGAGCGAAAGGGGTTTGGTACCCTGTTGATTGGTGCTTGCTGTCTGTATTCTTTGTCGCGATTATCAGAAGTGTGTCTCTCCCCGACAGAAACTTTAGGATAGGAAAGATAGAGCACAAAGTTTAATAATTATTGAGTCGGGAAGATTTAGCGTAACGTTTATTTGCCTTACGATGACCAACCTGTTGTCGACGATTCCCCGAGCACCAGACAGCGACTCGTTTGTGTCAATGCGAAGTAGTTTTTTCTCCATATACTCAAACAAATCCGTCTCTGTCGTTGTTGTTTCTTCTCACACACGGTCCAAGTATTGTTCTATGTTGTTTTCGTGGTTTTGAGCTGATCGATCTCGCCGATTCACCAGGCGGACACTTGATCTAGACTCGCCGCGCTCTGCGGTCCTTTTGCCATTCCATGAGTCCTCTTCCTCGTGCCCAATTGCACCATCCACCCTAACCCAACCGATCCCCACCGCCATGCCGCTTCCGCTGTCGCGCAGGCCCAGCACTAAGATGCCTCCGGAGATGAAGACGCAGACAGACGTGAGTTTGTTGTGGAGGCGTGGTATGTCAACTGCTTTAGTATCCGCATCCCGCTACATGTTTTTCCCTTTCTTGTTCCGTTCCGGCCCGCCATTGTGCTTTTGTGTGTACGCAATTGCTTCCGTTGCCGGCCGCTGTGGCTGCCTCTGGTGTAAAGGCTGCACCCTCGCTGAAGGACTTGGAATACATTATTGAGACATTTTGAACCGTACTGTACAGCGGCCATATGCAGCGCCACCCCGTGGGGAAATAGTAGTATCCCTTTTCACTACTATAAGAGTGGGAGACATGGCACCCCCGTGTTGGCGTTTTGTGTAGCGAATTTCTCCACAACCAGGGGGTATCAGTGCCGAAAAGGGTAGTTTTGGAACCATCTCGTCGAGGGCTTTCCTGAGAGGTATCGGTTGGTGTTCGCACCCTTCTAGTTGTGGAGAAATGCGCTACAAAAAAACGCTAACACGGGGGTGCCATCTCTCCGACTCTTACGCTAGTTGGCCTTCAGAAGAGGTTCTGTGGTGGGGACACTACTGCTGTTTCCAGGTTTTTCGTGTTATCGCCGCAGGGTGCGCACTGCTTGCAAAAAAAAAAACACCGAACGAATCGTGCTCTCAACTTGTTTCCCTTGTGACCGACCGCGATGCTACTCATTGGACTTTGAACTGAACATCCCTTCTCCCTGATTTCCCCGTCCGTTTTTCGTTGTTGTTTTTTTGTGTGTCGCGGTCTCAACTCAACAGGCGTTCACGCCCAGCAAGCAAGCACCTGGTCGATTGTGAATGGCGAGCGGGCGGGCAGCAGACACCAGAACTACCTCGAATCTCGTAGACTTGTTGATTCGTGTCTGACGATGTGCCTGTTTGGCGATAGCTCGTCTATAGATGAAGAAGCAGGTCTAGGAGCGCCTGAACCTTTTTTGATGCCGGTGTTCACAGGAGCAGATGTAGCCCAGTGGGCGCGTGCGCCGATGTGTTTGTGACGGAGGAGGGAGTTTTTGGGGGTAGAAAAGGGGTACGCAGCTGTTGGCATTTTCCGAGCTAGTACTCAGGCGGTTGGTTCCCAAGGGATCACCTACTGGCACTTGGGGTGAAGTTTTGTTGTATTTTGTGGTGTACAACGGCGACAAAACGCCATCGACTGGACGTTGTTGAGGCGGCGTGCCGCGCCATGACTCGCCCCAAAAATAGCGTGGGTAGGGTGTTTTGGGGGGAGATTGCATGTTGTTGTACAGGTTATTGGCCGTGAATTGGGCGTTCCTGGTTAATTGTGGCTGATTCGAGTTAATCGTACATCGTATCAAGTACAAGCTGGTGTGTGTTAAGTACTTGCGGTACACATTTAGCCTCGTTGAATTCATGTGCATAGAATGCAGGTGGAGTGTGTTGTGACGGTGTGTGACGAGAGGTAGCACCCGTGTGATTTCTTGCTTCCTGACAAAATTAATTTTAGACTATCCATCTCCCTTCTTCCATGTAGTACGTGAGACATCACGACAAGCGCAACCCTGCTGCGTCCGGTGCCTAGAGTGCCATCCTCTTGTCACACTCCTTGTGCAACTGCTACTCACCTATTGAAGACTTGCGGTATCTGCAGGAAAGGCAGAAAAAGAGAGCCGCACGCAAAACCATCCCGACGGATGATGCGGCCAGTACCACCCGGCGGACCCCACCCCGACCTCATAACACGCACGCTATGATTTTCGAGATCATGATCGTGATCTGCGACTAGTTACTGACGTCACGCGCTACCACGAGCCTTACTCTCTCCTCGTCGCATGCAGACGGTGTTTGCTGTTGTCTTCACATTAAAAACCCCAGTACCTATCGTTGTCTGCCCGTAGTGTACTGATCGAACACGAGCGGATTAGGTCCATCCAAATTGGGTCAAATGTAGCTGCAACTTCTCACGTCAAAGCTGGCCCTCAGCACGGGCGGGTGCAAAAGGAGCGCAGTCCGACTCGGGTACTTCGATTCGGCTATACTTTAAAAACAATTCAATTTTGAATTGTTCAGTGCTTCATCACCCAACCAATCAATGTCGAAGTCCCACTTTTCAGGGCAGAGAGAGTGTCATCGTGTTTTTTTCCTGTTGACCAATCAGCGTCTTTGGCTCCCAGCACCCCCCCCAAACTTTAAGGAAAACAAGGCCCCACTGGCTGTGAAGGGCGGCGGAGTGACAAATGGCCCTCGACCCTCTCACATCTCGGGGCTCCATCTTTATCGGGGCACTCTAAAAAAAGGGTACCTTCTTACCAACAAATCGGGAGATGGAATAAAACGAGACACTTGCTCAACTAACAGTGAGTTGGCACTTCGACGACAACACACCGCGTACCATATAGACTGCCGTAAGAAGAGTCGGAGAGATGGCACCCCCGTGTTAGCGTTTTAGTTTATTTCTCCACAAGTAGGAGGGTGCGAACACCAACAACCAATACCTCTCAGTAAAGCCCTCGACGAGATGTTTCCAAAACTACCCATTTCGGCACTGACTGGTACCCCCCTGGTTGTGAAATACGCTACAATAAACACAACACGGGGGTGCCATCTCTCCGACTCTTACGGTAGTCTATGCCGTGTTTTATGCGTACCACACATCTACGCCTGTTGTCGTGTGGCAGACAACTTAAAGTTGCATGTTGTGGTGAGACGATTGTGCCCGAATCGCATGCATGCCCAAAACAAGAAGCGCGTGATTATGATCGTGTCGGCAACGCTGTCCGTTGTGTCGTGTTTCGTTCGTCCATGTTTAGTGTGGGAATATCGATCTGCAGAGAAATAATTGCCACGAAGTCAAGTTGACGCAGCCATTTGGTACTATCTACTTGGAGGCCAAATTACGCGCCATGTTCGTTCATGCATGCGTGCGTTCATGTGAAACGCTTACAGACAACAGAGTCGTTACACAGCGTCGACGACCTCCTCCCATGAGAAAATGCCATGTAGAACTGAACGGACTTCTATTCGTGACAGAGGAACATTGCAAGTGTTACAGCAAACACTTGTACTGGGACAAACATGTTCGTTTCCAAGTGCCTTCATCTCCTTGCTATGATAACCGCCACTCACTTCCACCAAAAGAATACCACGATTTTTTGGCAGCTCTACGGCGTTTGCTGTGAGGATTGCTGTGTGTTGTGTTTGAGGGGGCCACACACCGACAACAGTCCGTAACTGACGAGCCGAATGTAGTGGGGTCTAGTGGGTCAACCTCCTCCACAGTGTGGTGTCCCCCCCCAAAAGGGTCAACAGACTCCGACTTCGACCCTCTGAAGGCAAGGGACGCAGGAGGGTTAGGAGATGGATAGTCTAAAATAGTATTTTTTGCCAGCAAAGTAAGATCTCACACGGTGCTACCTCTCGTCACACACCGTCTCAAAACACTCCACCTGCATCTATGCGCATGAATCCAACGAGGTTAAATGTGTAACCCAAGTACCTCAAGACACACCAGCGTGTACTTGATACGATGACGATAGCTCGAATCAGCCACAATTAACCAGGAACGCTCAATTCACAGCCAATAACCTGTACAACAACATGCAATCTCCCCCACAAAACCATGCCCACGCTAATTTTGGGGCGAGTCATGGCGCGGCACGCCGCCTCAACAACATCCAGTGGATGGCCTCTTGTCGCGGTCGCACGCTGTATGCCAAAAACAACAAAAATTCACCCCAAGTGCCAGCAGGTGATAGTACCTTGCGCCGACCGTAGCGCTCGGAAAAATGCCAACAGCTGTATCCCCCTTTTCTACCCCAAAAAATCCGTCACATCGGCGCACGAGCCCACTGTGCTACATCTGCCTCATTTAAAGCCGCATCAAAAAAGGTTCAGGCGCTCCAGACCTGCTTCTATCTATAGACGAGCTATCGCCAAACAGGCACATCGTCAGACACGAATCAACAAGTCTACGAGATTCGAGGTAGTTCTTGTGCCTGCTGCTCGCCCGCTCGCCATTCACAATCGACCAGGTGCTTGCTTGGTGTGAACGCCTGTTGAGTTGAGGCCGCGACACACACAAAAACAACAACGAAAAACGGACGGGGAAATCGGGGAGAAGGGATGTTCAGTTCCAAGTCCAATGAGTAGCATCGCGGTCGGTCACAAGGGAAACAAAATGAGAGCACGCTTCGTTCGGTGTTTTTTTTTTTGCAAGCAGTGCGCACCCTGCGGCGATAACACGAAAAACCTGGAAACAGCAGTATTGTCCCCACCACAGAACCTTTTCTTTAGGCCAACTACTGTAAAGGGATATACTCTTTACTGGAGTTGTGCTACAGATGGCCGCTATACCCAGGTACAACAGATGTTCCAAGATTAGTTTCCGCGGCTCAAATACACATAAAAACGAGATATACCTGAGGTGTGCGTGCTACCTTGTACGCCCAAGGCAACGATCGCGGCCGATGACGGAAGCAGTTGCGTACACACAGCACAAATGGCCGGAACGGAACAACAGAAAAGTATGTCGTCGAGATGAACCACAACACAGGAGGAAAACGCATCCACGCCTCCACAAAAAACTCACACGTCTGCCTGCGTCTTCATCTCCGGAGGCATCTTAGTGCTGGGCCTGTGCGGCAGCGGAAGCGGCATCGCGGTCGGGACCGGTTGGGGTTGGGGTGGATGGTGCAATTGGGCGCGAGGCAGAGGACTCACGAGAACGACGTGGCCAAAAAGACTGCAGAGGGCGGCGAGAGCCTAGATCAAGTGTCCGCCTGGTGAATCGGCGAGATCGATCAGCTCGGAACCACCACGAATACAAAAAAGAACACACAACGATGGAGAGTGTTGTTCGTTGCGTATATTGTGGGACCAAAAACATGGCGCTGTTATGTTCCTCGGGAAAGAAACCGTAGAAACAGTTAGTCATCACAACGCCATGAACTTAATAGCCAAATCTATCCCATACTCATAGCTTGGAACTGCATACCAGAATGGAAGTTTCTGCGTCGTAGTTATACATGGCAAGGCACAAAATACATGGCAAGGCACAAAAATACTCAACAAGAGAACCACACGGACATCGCAACTGCCGAGACCTTATTCGGGGGCCCAAACCCCTATGGCTGCTTAAAATCTCTTCCACAACGGCCCCTCCAAATGTCCCACACTCACCGGCTTGAGGCCCGCGGGCGCCGTGGGCATCGCGGAGGAGTGGTGCTCGATCATCACCCACTTGCCGTTCTCCCTTCGGTAGGCAAACGTGAAGCGTGCCCGCGTCTCGGTCATGGCCCCGTCAGCTCCCGCCCAGGCGAACGTGTAGGCGCCCGCGTGGATGGCGAAGTCCCCGTGGATGCGCGGGGGCGCCGGGTCGTACGCGACCATGGAGAGCTTGGGCATGCGGGCAAAGAAGTCCTGTGTGGAGGGAAAACAAGGGCCAGAGGTGCGTAGTCAAGCGTGTGGGTCACAATCTTGGGAACCGGGCATCAAGATGTGGATTGGTAGGCTCACACCAGCAGCGAGAAGAAGCATTTAAGTTGAAAGATAAATATCATTAAGTCGAAACAACCTTCAACCCCACTCACAAAGTAGTCGTAGACGTGCGCGGGCGTGTTGCGGACCTCCTCCGAAACCGTTCCCCAGAACAGCGCGTCGTCAGCGTAGATGGCGGCAGTCTTCTTGGGAGCGTCCTCGGTGTTGGAGGTCACAGTGTCCCTCCAGTTCCTAGTCGCGGCGTCGACGGCCTTCTGGTCTGTTCACCCGACACGACAACACCAACAAAATGTAGAGGTACAGGCGCATGGGAGATCAACGTTCAACTCGGATCACCCGAGACACGACAAAAGGGTTGGGCGTTGCCGAATGGAACACAGAAACGACGGCAAACAAGAAAGGAAACTATTAACAACACCAAGAACACATGAGCCAGCGAAGACTAAGCGGCCATCGATGCCTGCGGCCAAAACACGCCATCTCTACAGCAACAGCACCATGCAACAGCAATTGAGGCAGCAGCGAAGGCTACAAGGTTGACTGACCAGCGGTGTAGTTGGCCGCGTAGTCGGCCTGAACAGGTCCGCGTGAAGTCCCGTGATTGCAAGTGCGTCGGGCACAACGTTTCAGCATGTGCAGGGAGAAAGAGCGAGCGGATTGGGCAGAGGGTAATTTAACGTTTCCCGCACTTGTTGCTCATTTCAGTTCCAAGTTAACGGAAGAAAGCTCATAGAGTTTGAGTTGGGGAACGATCAGGGCAAAGGCGGAAACGAGAAGACACAATTCTACAGGTACAGGTGCATGGTGGATGACTCCGCGGCCGTACGCGTGCGACAAAGCGGCACAGCACCCACTTGTATGTGCACCCGGTTGTGTAAGATGTTAAAAAAAAATTTGCACCCGGTTGTGACCGGGGGTTCCGTATTGAGTAAAATGTTAAAAAAGAAACTCCGGGTGCGCCCACACCACGATGCAACACGAAACGGCACGAAAAAAAAAAAAGGGACACGAGAGGCCCGAGAGGA